CAAGCATCATGCCCTCGTAAAAAGGCTCTCACTTCAGCCTCCTTGGGAGACCAGCCCAAAATGGGAATCGAACGATTGCAAAGATTATTGGTCGTCGTGGTCTCAAACAACAATCACAAGCCCCGCTGAATTCTTGGATTTCTAATCTCTCTAGGAATCAAACTTTGAAAACCTACTCAAAACCACATCCCTTAAGTAGAGATTCAATCCCTAAAAGCAAAGAAGAACCTTTCTAACAATAACTATAGCTTCAACCCTTCAATCAATCTCATCAAAGAGAAGGATTTTATACAATACTACTTCTCAAATAGGGTTTTTAAAATTGAACCGAACAACGAACCAATCAGTGATCCAGTTCCCGGGTCGAACGGTTCAAACAGTTCAATCGCCCAAGTCAGCATTTTGCTGACCAAATCAATAGTTTTTGGTGAAATAATGGCTCGAGTAAAATGGAACCGGTCACCTGATTGGTTCCCAATTTTTCCAGTCTGACCGTTCGGTCCAATCCGATTTTGAAAACCATGTTCCCAAAAGTCCTGGCAACTTAAATTAATCTTTAAACTCTAACAAAGTTGAACAAATTGCATAGAAAAACTAGAAATGTAAGTTTTTCAAAGACAATGATAAGTTGAAATGATCACATCAGGAGCTACTGCTAGAAAAAAGCGTGTTAACACGCTTAGCAGTTAGCACTGCATCCAGCCGCACATAGATGTTTTGGATGTAACGAATCATAAGTTTAGGTTTGACTATGATACTAAAAAAACTTGTAACCATTCAACCAATATCACATGATAACCAATCAAGTGGTTATTTATCAAATTCACATAGGCTTTTAATTTGATTGGTCGAATCTCTTGTCTTTCACGTCTTTACAACAGTATAGGTTTTTCGTATAGACTTTTTATACTATTAGTAATTAAGCACATGCGTTGCACGTGACAAAATTTTCTTCATATTAATTACTTGAATTTTAGATATATCATAGTTAAGATAGAAATTGAACATTAACAAAAATAATAATATGATTAAAAATAAATTTAAATATTTGTTATTCAATTATGACATCATGGGTTTCTTGGAAAAATTGGATAATTGACCCACCATCTAGATAAGAAAATAGCATTGATTTTGGATTAGTTTTAAATTAGAAAAAAATATAATCAGAGTCGGTTGTACATTTAAAATTAGGCTATAAGTTGGTCCATAAACAACATAACTTTGGCAACCGGTTCTACATTTCAAATTATAAAAACCATCATGATGTCATCGGAGGCTTATGTGGTTATTGCCAACATGTGACTCTTAATCTATGTTGAATACAACAAAAAGCTTATACTGAAATTGCCCTTTAATGTTGGGTGATTGGAAAATAAAAAAAGGGTTTTTAGTCTCTCTCTCTCTCTCTCTCTCTCTCACACACACACACACACACAGTCATCTTTATTTGCTCAACGACTATGTGATTTGAAAATAAACAAAAAATAGTTTTTGGTTTCTGTATTTACGTTCTCTATATCAATTTCTCTCATTCTCTCTCTCTACCTATCGTTCTCCCTCAATTTCTCTCATTCTCTTTCTTGGTCGATCTCTCATTCTTCTTTAATTTCTATCGTTCTCCTTCATTTTCTCTCTCGCTCCCTCTCTCATTTGTTTTATTTTCTTACACACTTATATGGTATTAATCAGATCGTATAAAAGAACATGAGACCAACTTGGTATGGTTTAAAAATTATTACACCAATTTGATAAAAATTCACAAGAAACTCTTGGCTATGAAATTTATACCAACAGGAGAACGATAGAGATTGAAGAAGAATGAGATATTGACCGAGAGGGAGAGTGAGGGAGAAGAATGAGAAAAATTGAGAGAGAACAATAGAGAGAGATGAAGAGAGAGAGAGAGAGAGAGAGAGGTTTTGATTTGGCTACAGACCGAATCTAAGAGAGTGAGAGAGACAAAGAGAGCGAGAGATCGAGAGATGATTATGAGAGTGAGAGAGAAGGGAGGGAGATCGAGAGACAAAGGGAGTGGGAGAGAAACTGAAAACCTATATTAGGTATAGGTTTTTTGTTGTGTCCAATATGGACTAAAAGTCCCATGTTGGCAATAGCCACATATGCCTCTAATAGCATGGTGAGGTTTTTATAATTTGAAATGTAAAACCGGTTGTCAGAGTTTTGTTGGCTTCTGAACCAACCTGCAACATGGATTAACCCATTTGACCCAAAATGATTTAATTTCTTACCACCACCTAGATGAAAACACTATTTTTGATAGGTATATTTTAAAAGTATAAGCTTTTATGTTATTAGAATTATTAATTTATTAAGTATAGACTTAAATAATATAACTTAATGATGAGAATAAACAAAAATGACTTAAATATATGATTCAATGAACATGAATGCAAGTTAATAACTTAAATGTTGGATTTAATGAGAGACAATTGAATGAATTGAATATCTTTAAATTATCTCTTTTCAACTCATTTAATATCAATAACCAATTACCCTATTTGCCCTCATTTTTTATCAATAAATTTAAATATAGAGGGGTAAATTTTGTCCTTAGAAAATTCCAAAAATATTCTTGAGGTCATTCGTGCTTTTTAAAGTAGTATAGATATAGATATAGATATAGATATAGATTAATATTATTGTCTATGAATTTAATTAGTAAAATTTAATGATAAGAAACAAAAGTACATCAAATATAGGATTAAATGAGAAAGAATAAGAGTTAATACCTTAAATATAAGACTTAGTGAGAAGAACAGAATAAACTGAAAAAAGAAAAAAAAAAGTATTCAGTTTAAAGTCAAAAAGCCTTGGGGAGCTATTCCCACTTTCTATAAATGCTAGGTAAGTTGTAATAATAATAATAATAATAATAATAATAAGATTTTAGAAATGTTGTGTAATTGTTTGACACATAACAGAAGTCCACTATTCGCTAAGTCTCTAGCCAAGTAAATGGATTTTTGAGTAAAAGGGTAGGGGTGCAATTTGGGCAGGCCCAACCTAAGTCTGACCTGACCCAATCCAAGTTTTTGCACAAGTTGAGCTTGAATTAATGGGAGAGGTGATCATGGCCAGGCTGAGTTGGGCCGAGCTTTGTACTTGTGATAAGGGATGTAGCCTAGGCCAGTCTGGCTTAGGTTCTGGGCATGCAACATAAGTCTAGGTATGATTCAAGGGTTATTACTTCTATATTTAAAATGTTGTCATATAATGTGTATGAAATATGTTTTATACATTATATAATATAAAATAGAGTAAATTGCTGAAACCTCCCTCTGAAGTTTAGTAATTGCAATCATCTCCCCTGAGTTTTTTAACATAGTTGCAAGGAGACCCCCTCTAGTAGAATCTTCTAAAAAGAGGTATGAAAATATCTAAATACCCATGCAATCACTTTTCATAAATACCCATGAAATTAATTTATTTTTCATATTTGTCCTTCATGTTAATCACTCAAAGGTAAAGGTACAATTTTAAATTCTCTTTTTTTGTTGTTAGTACTTTTATGGGTATTTTGGACAATTTCATGGCTCTTGTTAGAATAAACTCGATATTATAGGTACCATATCATAACATACATACATACATACATACATACATACATACATACATACATACATACATACATACATACATACATAGCTCAGTTAAATACAAAAAACTAAGACCAAGCCTCGAATTTTCTGGCCAAGCCAAACTGAAAATGATGAACCCTAGTTTTCAAGTTGCAAGTTGGGCTTGGACCAGGAAATTCAAGCATAACCTAAACTTGGGTTGAGGTTTTTAGGTAGCTGGAGCACGGCCAAATCCAACCCAAGCCCACCCAAAGAAATAAATAAATAGTTCATTTTGTTTATATAAAAATATATTTTTACTAACTATATATACATGTTTGTATGTATAGAATATGTATATGAATATTTGTAAATGAAATTTGTATATATTTTTAGGAATGGCAATGGGGCGGGGTGGGGTTGGGTTTTGCCTGCCCCATACCCAACCCCGAATTCAAATTCCCCGCCCCGAACCCTGACGGGACTAAAAATCTTAATCCCATCCTTGTCCCCACAAGGAATGGGGATCCCCAACTTTGCCCCACCTCGCCCCTGTCATTCTTACTTATATACTTATTATTATTTTTTGTTAAACCTACCTAGAACTATTTTATATAGTGTAATATAATATATAATAATATAATCTAATATATATTAGCATATATTAATAACTATATGTGTGTGTGTTTTATAATATAGTTGGGGTGGGGTGGACAAATATCGTCCCCGACCCCAGAGTTTTGGGTTTTCCCCGAACTTGCCCCAATTGGAGCAGGATGGGGTGGGCCCCCACCGAAACGGGTGAAATTGCCATCTCTATATATTCTCAATCAAATCTACTCCTAGATTGGCCCATAATGACCAATGAAAAATGGCTACACAAAAATATATTCATAATTTTTTTTTAAACCCAACCAACTCGACTAAGCTGGCCCAACCCAGAAACCCAAGACCAATTTGAATTGTGTTGGATTAAGGTCATGTTGGACCTGGGTTGATAAATTCGGGTTGGGCCAAGCCCAAACCCGAGGTTTGCACATGTAGGGTTGGGACTGTGGGTTGACCATCAACCCAACACAACCCGCCCGAGTTGCACCCCTAAAAAGGAGGTTAGGGGTTAACTCAAACCGGTATGACTGGGTGACAGGTTGAACAGTCTGACATGACCAGATAAAGATGGTTTGAAAACAATGGTCCAAAGTCCAACCCCGTTCCAAATTTTGAACTGTGCATAAACGTTGGACATGGAGTACAAAATTATTAAAACACCCTCACTGTATGAAGTATCAATAACAAGACAATAAAGACATTCTCGTCACGAGAAATTGTAATTATCTCCAAATATAAGGGGCTTCTTGTAATTCTATGCAGATCTTTTGTCCATAAAAGATGATTTTAGTTAGCTGGAGAAATTACAAACCCGAGCTGAGATGGATCAGCTGCACGCTTTTGCATCTGCCACCGTCACCTACCTCTCCCAACTCCCTCGCCCAGCTGCTCTCTCCCTCGCCGCCTTCTTCCTTCTCCTCCCTCTCATCCTCCGCCGCCGGACTTGGTACAACGCACCACCTGGCCCTATCGGATGGCCTATACTCGGTTACCTCCCTTACCTCTCCGATCGTCTCCACGAGGATCTCTTCCACCTAGCCAAGACCTATGGCCCACTCTTCAGCCTCCGGATGGGACAGAGGCCTGCCATCGTTGTTTCCTCGCCGGAGATGGCGAGAGAGGTCCTCAAGCACAAGGAAGCGTCGTTCTCTAGCCGTACGATTACGGAGGCTGTACGATGCATCGCGTATGACGGCACGTCTCTTGTCTTTGTCCCCTACGGTTCCCGGTGGAGGCTTCTGCGTAAGATCATTACTTCCGAATTCTTCTCCTCTCGCGCCATTGAGCTCTTCCAACCCGTCCGGAGACAGCAGGTTTAGCCGGAAAACTTGAGCTTTTCCGTTTTGATCAGTTCACTGTTATTTTGAGTTAAATAGCTTCAAAGCTTGTGAGTTTTTTATTTTTCATTCATTATTGCTTGCATAAAAGCCATCTACCGCCGATTCGGTATCTTTCTCCTTGGCATTTGATCATCAGCTTAATAAACATGGGCCCACTATGAGCTGCCAACTGACTAGTTGGTTACGTTTCCGGCTAATTGCAGCGAAGACTTTCGGATCGAATCGCGCCGGTGTCAGGGTTGGAGGTTATGGTTAAGGGCTCCATGGAGCCCAGAAAATAATAAACATGGGCCCACTATTGGTAAATCCAATGGGTCTAGCATTCTATTGATAAATCACCATAGCCCAGCCTGACCAGGCCTCAAATTGACTAACAGCTTATACTTGATCACAAAGTCTTAGCATGGCTTAAACGTCTTAGGCAGGAACATTTAGGAGTACATTTTTTGTAATCCAAATGGTGCAAAAATATGGGAATGGAAATGAATTGAATGCAAATTCTGGAGTATTTTTATTTCAATCTTTACTCTGGTTTATTTATAGTCCGGTCCAAAAATTTTTATACTTGGACCTAGGTTTTGTGTCCTTGACCGGCCCACACATGTCATTTTATAAACATATTTTTAGGCTTGATTTTATGCAAATTGTTTTATGTATATGCCACTAGTAATTACTAGGGTGCAAGTCAGATTGCCCAACTTGAAAATTTTCAAGTCCATCAGGCTCTGGTTTGGTTTTGGGCTCATTGAGAATTCGACAAATCCCCAACCCAAGTTACACCCTTAGTAGTGATTTCATTCAAGGACATCTCCCCATTTGAAGAAACAGGGGTGCAATTTGGGTGGACTCAAGTTGGGCCTTTTGTCCAAATTTGAATGGGCCCAAGTACAAAGCAGTACAAAATGTTTACTCAGGCCAATCCTAATTGCACCCCAATGAAGAAACATCAAAGTTAGGTTTCTTCAATCCAGAATACAAAATCCAATCTATACCACGGTTTTCCCATCTCAAGTTAAAATTTAAAACGGATCATTGCCTGAGAATCTCCGGCCTTTGGGCCTGGCCCATTCAAATATTGAAAAAGCCTAATCTGAGCCCACCCAAGTTGCATCCCTAGCTGGTACAAATCCTTGTTGACAGCCCAGGCTGTCGAATGTAGACAGCTAAAGTTTTCTCATTTTCATTCTTGTTTTTTGTTGATGTAACATTGCAAAATATTCTCTCAGGTCGAAGGCCTACTTAGAACTCTATACACAAGCTCGAAGTCCAAGACTCCGGTGAACGTTGCCGACTCCATGTTTGTGGTCTCGTCCAACCTCACAAGTAACATTGCATTTTCAAAGAGCCTATTCGACACCACAAAGAAGGAAGGAAGAGAGCTCAAAGACATGGTGTGGGAGGTCCTAGAGACTGTAGCTGTGCCCAATCTGGCTGACATGCTCCCTTTTTTAAAGGTGTTTGACCCACAAGGTTTGAAGAGAAGATTGTCTAAGGTGGGCATGAGGTTTGACAAGTTCCTTGAGCAATTGATCGATGAGAGATTGAAGGAGAGGGAGAAAGGATTCAAGAAGAATGGGAAGATGGACATGTTGGATGTGTTCTTAGACTACAGGAGTGAGAAGGAAGATGAGTTGAAGCAGTTCTCTAGGGTTGATATCAAAGGGATACTTTTGGTATGTATTAATCTTACTTTACTCCTAAAGTTTAGTGTGTGTTTGGCTAAGCTTTAGGGTTTGTGATTTCAAAGCCCAGTAGCACAAAGCCCCGATACCTAATTCTAGGCTTTGGGCTTTGGGGCTTAAAGTGCTTTGACTTTGGATTACAATATTCTTAAAGGCAACTCTTACCAAACACTCAAAACACTTTTTGGTTCAATTTTATTTTTTACAATCCAAAGCCCAAAAGCAAAAGATTATCCAAACAAAGCATTAAGTGTCTATTTGGATAAGCTATTTTTCTGAACTTTGCATTTTAGAAAATAAAACTGAGCCCAAAAAAAAAAACATATTAAGCATTTGGTAAGAGCTGCTTTAAAAACATTTTAGTCTAACGCCAGAATAGTTATAAAACGGGTCCCCACCTTGACAGCCCTAAAAACAATGTTTAGTGAAAACCCCATAAAGACCAAATTTGACTGCAGTTATTTCATTTAGTGAGCTGTTTTGGAGATAAGATTAGTTGAACACAATAGCTGTTAGAACCAATAATAGTTTTCCAAATCAGTGATAAAATACACGGAACCCACAAATGAAGCCTAACTAGTTAAGCTGAACGGAATAGCTAAGTTTCTGCTTAGCTAGTTAAACTGCTTTGAGGCACTCTGGATAAGCTATATATTGAGGCTGAAGTGGACAGACTTTAAAGCTGAGTTTGGGAAGAGTGCAAATACAAGGTTTAATACCGTATATAATGTTTTGCACTAAACATATTTGTATTTACACTTTTCCCAAATGGAGCCTAAATAGCTAATTGACAAGTGATTTGGGCTTTCCAGATTTTTTTTCACCAAACTTTTATAGGCTGTCTGTGCAGGTCCATCTTGAAAAGTCAGAAGTTGCTTTGCTTTGAAAAACTTCCAATAAATGTCAAAAACAATTATGTATTAAAATGTTTTATAACTATTACTATATATAACATTATATAATATATATATATATATATATATGCTATTATAAGTTTATTTTGTAGGACTGCAAATAGATTGAATCAAATTGGATATAGGTAGATACAAATTTGAGTTGTTTAAATACCAAAACGAATTAAGTTGTTTATATTCAAATCTAATTTGGGTTGTAATCAGATATTGAATAATATAAGTAATTAAACTGAAAATGATTAAAATATTATACATTATTAATAAAAAAGAACTAAAATGACTTTGATATTGTATTTGATGAAAAAAAAAAGAACTAAAAGTTATTTGTATGAATTTTCAATCTATGACATGATTTGGCGTTGTAGGACATGTTCATGGCGGGTGGAGACACTACATCAAGCACAATAGAGTGGGGGATGACTGAGATCCTCAAGAAACAGGAAAGCCACAAGAAGATATTAGCAGAGCTTGATCAAGTGGTCGGAAAACATCGATTCGTGGAAGAATCCGACATCCCTAAGCTCACCTATTTCCAGGCCGCCGTGAAGGAAGTCTTCCGGCTCCACCCAGCAGTTCCCCTTCTCGTCCCTCGCCGGACCAACGAAGCATGCGAGGTCAGCGGTTACAGCGTGCCCAAGCATGCAATTCTCTTTCTCAACGTCTGGGGAATGGGCAGAGACCCCAAGATATGGCCGGAGCCTTGTGAGTTCAAACCGGAGAGGTTCCTGGGCTCCAGTGTTGATGTCAAGGGCCAAGACTTCGAGATTCTGCCTTTTGGAACTGGACGAAGATCATGCGTTGGCATGCCTCTTGGTCACCGGATGGTGCACTATTCTCTGGCCTCGTTGCTTCATGCTTTTGAGTGGGACTTCCCTTCAGATGTCTTAGAAGATACAACCGAGAAGGTAGGGATTACTCTGCAGAAGGTCAAGGTCTTGATAGGTGTTCCTAAACCTCGCTTGCAGGATTCTGTGTACCAACTGCAGTAATCAGTAATGACAACTCTCCGAAAGATTCACGACTCTTTCTATGTGTCATTGAGAAATAAACTAAGCGTTTTTTTTCCTTGGAAACTTGAATTGTAAACCAAAACTTATGTAATAACTCCTGTTCTGGTTTTGTTTCCTTCTGTTATTTAATTTGCGGCCTTCAATTTCAAAACAATCGATATAATAATGGCTTTTTAAAGGGTGGCTAGGGATAGGCCCTCTTTATTTTTGGCTACCCCTAGAAATATCTTAGCTCCACCATACAGGTGGAGCTACTAATAGTCTACTTAAACCAACTCTATTTTTTCATAAATTGCACACTTGCACTAGGATTTATAGGGAGGAGATAGACCAAAGCCCACAAAGTTTGGATTTATAGGAGGAGATAGAATAAGGGCATTTTCATTTGCACAAACCTCACATTTGAAAATAGTAATAATTACTTTTTTTGGTAATTGTAATAATTAACATATACTTTAGGTGTAGAGGAGTTGGTGAGCGTTTTTTATTCTAAAGTCTGAATGTAAATAATGTTGTTTTGAAACAAAATTATGAGTTAAGGGTAAAAGACTTAACATACTGAGTTTGATAAATGATAATTGACCATTTTAACCTTGAAAATGAGATAGTTTGTTTACGGGTAAAAGACTTAACATACTGAGTTTTCATAAATTGACTTAAAAGTGAGGGAATACTTCTCTGATCCAAACCATTAGGAATCTTAGGGGTGTCAATTGCATCAGATTTGGTCCGATTTGATCCGGTCCAATATAAGTTCATTACAAATGGACCAGGTCCAATCCAACCCAATGAATACTTTCAACCAGTCCAATTTAATGGCTGGGCCGTTTAATCTGTTCAAATTGGTTTTAATTTAGATTTGTTCCAATTCAAACCTGCTCTATGGACACCTGTATTCTTATCTTCTATCAATGGACTGAATATCGGTTCAGTCTAGCCCAATCCCATATAAATCCATTACAGTTGAACTAGGTCCAATCCAATCCCATATACTGGTCCAATTCAATATGTATTATTGGCCCGTCCAAATCGATCTTGATTTGGATGGGGTCCAACCCAAAACCAGTGTCCATTGGCAACCTTATTTAGGATCCATCCATTTGCTCATTTGCACTAGTGTGAATGTATACGAGTGTAAATGGTCAAAGTGTAAATCCTGTTTTATTTTTATTTTAGGGTCCATTTGGTTTGTGGGAATAGGGGTCCAGAATAGGACCATTCCAATTCTAACTGTTTGATTGGATGGAATCGAAATCCCATCCCCATTTCTCCCATTTGAGGGAATTGCCATTCCCTCCCCCTCCCCCAGGAATGAGAGTTCATTCATAGCCAATTTTGATTCCAATTCCAATTGTAGTCTGAACCAAGCAGGTGAGGGGAATAGACCATTTTGATTCTTATTCAAATTAAGACTGGCATAAGGTGCATAAAGTTATATGTTTGGGAGGAGAAAGGTAGCAAGCAAATTGATGTTGTCCCCACCTTATGTGAGCGAGAATTAAGAAGGAAATGGTGGAAATTTTGCATCAGTTTTCTAGATGCAAAATCTGCACTGCCAGTTGACAATAGGTGCAAAATTTGCATCATGTAAATGTGTAGATTATAATAAAAAATAAAATAAAATAAAAGATCTTTAAGAGCTTGGTGATTGTGAATCATTGACTTTATAACTAAATGCATCAGTTTTTTAGACTCAAAATCTGCACTGCCAATTGACAATAGGTGCAAATTTTGCATCATATAAAGTGTAGATTATAATTACACACAAAAAAAAAGGATCCTTAAGAGCTTGGTGATTGTGAATCATTGACTTATATAGACACCTAAACCATGTAGTATAACTAAATGCATTTCTACTTCATATATGAATTTAAGTTTTATATAGACACCTAAACCAATGCAAATATCCACTCTTTATATAATATAGGTGTGATGGATGTACAAATTGTACATTTATTTGAAAGGTAAGGGAAGGTTTCTGGAAAGGTCAAAGTTCATAAAGGGTTAAAGCAGTTGTCAAAAACTCTCCAATGTTTAAAAATTAGTGGGTAAATTTCTTAAACTATTCTTATGATTTAGCTAATTGACTAAGTATATTTTTACTGTTTGAAAATTGATTAATAATATTCTTACTGTTTTTGACAATTGATTAACTCTACCCCTGCTGTTACATAAAAGCAAAAAAGACTATTTTACCTTTTATTCTTATTCAAATTTTCAAAATAAAACAGACTGAACTCAGTGATTTCAGCACTTACATCCTTGTCATTTTTGCACCTAAAAACCCCTTTCATAACATGGGATTCTGCTTGCCGAAGAATCTATAGTTCCCGCCGCTGTGAGACTCCTGTTGTCCTTTTTCAAGTATTCTCTTACAAGATTAGGTAAGTCCAATCGTCATTAGTTTTCTCCTGTTATTTTCTTTTTTTCGTTTCTTTTTTTATTTTTTCTTCCGATCATTTTGGTATGAGGTAATTGGTGTTGAGTAGTCACCGGAACCGGTGATGAAGCTTTCATCGAGCCATTTTTGGGTGATATTATTAAAGTCACCCCAGATCACCAAACTGTATTCTGATTTGATTAAAATCTTGTTTTTTCGGTGATTTCTTCAGCGCTTCTGATGACAAAATCATCGTCGCTGCTTCATTCTCGAAACGAAGGGCCGTTTGGCCCAGAGAATCGTTGGGAGGGGTGCCACCGCCACTGTTTTTCATTTGAAGGAAGTAGGGGATGAATGAGAGAGAATGACTGCGGCCACTGCTGTTTTGCGCGAAGATTGCGAGGCGAGGCGACGAGCCCTTCATTCTCTCTCCCTCTCGGGACAGCCATCGTAGGTGACGACAGCCACCGACGAAGGTCTCCCTCCCTCTCTTTCTCTCTTTCTCTCTTCATCCCTTCGTTCTCTCTCCCCCATTCACCCTCGTCCCTGTTTCATCACCGCCACTGCAACAAGTTGTAGCAGCGACGGACCCCTCCATGCACTCGGATACAGATACAGATGATGAGTGTTATCAGAGCTCTTCAGGCATTCCACTGGACAAGGAGGGAGGAGGGAAACTAAACTGATCCCATCTGCCACTGCAACAACTCGTTGCAGCGGCGGTGACCAAGCAAGGAAGTGGAAGCAAGAAGAAGAAAGAGGAGGAAAGAAAGAAGAAAGGGAGGAAGAGAGAGAGACTTGGCCGAAAATCGATTGGGAGAAGGAAATCGATGACTTATTTGATGCTGATTTCATTTGATGATGATTGATAATCTGCAAGCCCCTGTGAAGGCTGGCAGATACACACAGCAGCGAACCAGAAGCACAGTAAAGAGTGAACACATAGCTGCACACAGCGGTGAACTAGCGGCACCCCCTTCTTGCTCTGACGGCAGTGATAAGCCCTCTTCGAACGAAAACAGAGGGGCAGAGGGGAGAGAGAGACGAGAGGTTGAGAATGGCCAAAGAGCAAAGAGAGACACAGGCGGAGGGGGAGGTCTTAGAAGAGAGAGTGGGGGGCTCAGGATACGAGAGCAATATTGGGTTTTAAAAAAATCGGTCACGTGGGGTCACATGTGCATAAATTGTGAGTTGTGACAGTGCATTAGCATATGCTAACGACAAAGGACAGGATAGAGTTAATCAATTATTAAAAATAGTAAGGATAGTGTTAGTCAATTTTAAAATAGTAAGGATGTATTTACTCAATTAGCTAAATTAATTTAAAAAATTTACTCAAAATTAATTTAGCCTAAAAATATACGTTTTACAGTTTTAGTAACAACAACAACAATGACAGTTTTGTAAAAACACATATTCCATCTTGGATTCTGTCTCCCCCATCCTTTTTTGGCGAGTCAACACCCAAAGACGCCTTTTGCGTTTTGCCGGTGAAAATTATGCATATTTCCAATTTTCCGTCGTTGAATTACACGAAGCAAATTATACGCCGTAAATCCCTCCGTCCGTTCCTTCTCGCTAAACACGGAAGTGTTTGCCACGTCATCTTGGCTCAACGTCTCGAAATGACGATGTCGAACGGAACGACGACCACGAACTGCAACTCTACATCATCATCATCATCCTCATCCTCATTATCTTACATATGTAGGACGCACCTAAAGTAAATGTTGCAACATGATCAGATGGTGGCAAAGTGAATGCAAATTAAATCAGACGGTCAAAAATCTCCGGGACCCACTTGATGGTATGCCCCCAGTCTCATGGCAAGGCAACTGGACCTTTTTTTAAGTTTTCACTTGAACGTTGAACCCGGGTATGATGTCTTCGGACTTCAAAATTGGGAGAATTGAGGGGGGAAATCGGGTCACTTTCGAACTCATTGTTTCACCAAACAACCAGATAACAGCCATTGAAGTGTTCTGTGCTCGGCAGTTCGGATTGGACTAAATCCAGGGGCTTAAAAAACAAACCTTGAACGGAACCGTTCAAAGTCAAACCGACTTGTTGAACGGGCTTTCACTTGGCCCGTTCTTACACTAACAGTCTCGCAAGTCACAAGTTTGTATCTCCCTAAACCCACTCCGGAGATGTCGCATGCTTTATCCTTGGGAGCTTTCTTTCTTTCCTTGTTTTGGATTCTGAGGGCAGATGATCCCTCGCTAGTGTTTGCTTCTGCTTTGTTATCCGTTAGTTAAAATGTTTAATTTATTAACATGTATTTTTTCTATCACATATATTATTAAAATTTAAATTTTAAGTTATTATTTGAACAAATAAATATAGTTTTTAGTATAATCGGATCTTTCAGGTTTGGACGTGATAGATCCGACTATTAATTGGAATGGTTCTGGGTCTATGATTTTATCTTGATTAATAATTGGTTTGGGATTGAACCAATTATTAATCCTGAACCAATTACTTAGTCCTGAACCAGACTCAACCTGCTGATAGCGCTATGTAATCTAATCCCCAATAAGATGTTGAGTGAATTGTGATTCATAGTCTCAGTTTGGAAAGAATACAAATACAAATATGTAGAGTACAAAACTATATATTTTATATTAATTTGTATGTATTTATACTGTACATATTCGTATTTGTACTCCTCCAAACTGAGCCATAATAGTAATACTTGGCACTTATTAACATTTCAATTTAATGTTTGAATTTTATTTGTTATTTTATGTAGGTGTGCATATTATGTGGGCTTTCTAATATGTTAAGCCCAATAGAATGACCCAAACTATATCAAAAAGTAGACCAAACCATTCTATTATGGTTTGGCCTAGTTTGGCTTGGTCTAAGAAATTTTTAAACCGTAGTTTACTAATTTGGTCAGAGATCTTCTCTAAATCAAATCAGACTGTGAACACCCTTAAATTTAACTATATTTAATTAATAAAACAAGGAAAATGTTTTGTGCTGAAAAAACATGATACCAAAAAGGATTTAACCAGTCAACCCCACCCCCCTATAATTGATTGGTCACCCATTTTATGATGCTTCTTAGTTATAGTATTTTCTGGTATCATGCCATTCCAGCATCACAGTTGAACCCATAAAATAATTAATAAGGCTTAGTTTGGAAGGAGTGTAAATGCAAATATGTAAAGTGTAAAACCTTATATTTTATATTATTTTCTATGTACTTGCATTCTACATATTTGTATTTGTACTCTTTCCAAATTGAGTCTAAGAGAAAATTTATCTAAGGTTAGGGCAAATCTGTTAATGGATTTGATCTACCTGAGTGAATCGTTTACATTGGTTCTAATTATATGGTTTTGTCTGAATTAATAATTGGATTGGGGCCGGTTCTTGTTATTATGAACCAATTGTAATCTACTAATATATAAAGGTCATTTTTTTTTTACTTTTGATTATATTTTATATCTAAAAGGGTAAATTTCATACATAATATATAAGACACTTTTGGTTTAAAATACTTGTTTTATCAACACATATACACTTTATTGTTTTACTTAAATTTTTATTAAGGTTATATTATTGAAAAGAGAAATTGTCTAAAACTCATCATGAGTTTTCAACAATTTCTCTTAAAATCACAACTTTTCAAAATGTCTAAAACTCACCATGTCAGTAAGTTTTTATTTTCCAAAACTCACCTTCCGTTAGTACACCGTTAATGCTTCTTAAAAGAGGTGTCCATGTCAGCATAAATAACAATTTTCATGACCAAATTACCCTTGAATGGTGAGTTAGAGGGAAAATGGTCTTTTTAAGTTTTTAATTTTCTTGTTTTTTTGCATTTTAAGTGTTTTGTTATAGTTTCCTATGTTTTTTTTTTTATAATTTCTATTTTATTACATTTTCTATTTTCTACGCTCTATAATTTTTCCTGTATTTTTGTTTTTGTTTTTTTACATTGGAAAAATGTATTTTTTCCAATGTTTTTCTATTCTCTATAATTTTTTGTTTTTTTTTTCTACAATTTTTATTTTCTGATTTTGTTTTTCAAATTCCATAGTTTCTATAATTTGAAAATAATTTTTTATTTTGTTTGAAATTTCTATAATTTTTTGTAATTTCTATGTATTTTTGTATTTTGTATTTGAAAATATTTTTTTGAACTTTTTCCTTTTTTCATGTCTAAATATTAAAATGGTAATATATTAACACCTATTAATTAATTTTGTATATATTTTATATTTTTCTATGAATGTTAAAATGGTAATATATTAACACCCGTTAATTTGTTTAACGTCAAATTAGTGACATGGTGAATTTTAGACATTTTGAAAAGTTGTAATGAGTTTAGGAGAAATACTGAAAACTCATGGTGAATTTTAGATAATTTTCCTGTTGAAAATAAAGTACTAAATTGCTATTATCATAGATAATTATAGATCTCAAATATAATTGCGTCAGATCCTACTATCGTATGGAATCGATTCGACCATTCCAAACCACATCCAACCCATTGAAAGCTCTAAGTGAGGAGATGCTTCACAATTTTTTTTTTTTTTAAATTTTAGTTTCTGTCGTGGAGATTTGCTTTAGTGAAAGAAGTTCCTTATGAGATCTCATGGAACAGAAAAATATTATTATTTAGTATGTAAAATTGGAAATACAATCTAGACTTTTATTTAATATGGCAAGACCTATCTAATTTAGTAATGCTAATGATCAGTAATTACAGTAATTGTTAATTCATTAATTTCGTAATTAGCATACATAGAGACTGTAACATAACTCTTTTCCGAGATTCTTGATATTAATTATTAATTATTTAAATAACATCTTTTTAGCAACAAGTATTAATTTGGCAAACCGAACCAATATCAATGATCAAATGACTCGGTCCTTCGTTGAAAAAAAAACTCGGTCCAACTCGCCAAAACGGAAACGAGTCAGTGTCGTCACCCGAATAAAAAAAATCCACATTCCAGAACCCAACCGAGTCAAATTCATGGCCAGTGGCACTGACTCGTTCCAACTTCCAAAAAAAGGACAATAAACGTTATTGGTTAACAACGGTTACTCCGCAAGTCGGAGAAAGAAAATTTTGGGGGGCACTATCGTTTATCTAATATTATTTCGCCCTACAAAAAGCGGGAAAGTAGAGGCTGAGCAAAGTATGGGAGTCCATTCCATGGGAACAAGCCAACAACGTATTTGACCTGTTCTCCTTCATTTTCCTTCCTTCTCTTCCCCTCCTAATAAATCCATCCCCGATTTCTCCGTTCTCTTAAACACACTCTCCCTCTTTCTGCCTCTGCTTTCCATAACTTTCTTCTTCTTCTTCTTCTTCTTCTTCTTCTCTCTCTCTTTGATGGCTTCCTCCGCCTAGTATCTTGAGCCTCTCTTGGATTCTCTAGGACTCTTGTTTTTCTTTCTTCAGTCTTCTCTAATGGAAATGGAGCGACCAAATGAAGAACAGAGGATTATCGAATCCTCAACCCCAGAACAAACTAAAATCGAAAACAAGGTCCTCACTGAAGAAAACGAAGGAAACAGATCGAAAAATTGCACTTCCGGCGGAGGAACCGAAGAAATTGCCGGAAAGGGTAACGAGAATACGTCTCGAAACGAGAATCCGGGAGTTGATCGCGGTTCCGATAATAACGGTGACGACAATATCTCCGGAAGCAAGGTTCATGGAGGATATGAAGATTTAGATGGTATAGAAAACATGAAGAGTTCCTCAGATAAATTGGGGGAAAGAACAGAGAATAATCAAAATTCATCCGTAATTGAGATCGAAAAGAGACAAATATACATTGAAGACGGCAGAAGCGGTTCCTCTACCGGTCAAGATAAAGCTGCGGAAGAACAGATTGCGTACGGGAATGAAGATTCCTCCGACTTGAACCCCTCGCCAAGTCCTCGCAGGATCAACTGTGACGTGAGGGTTGTCCAGCCTCATTCACAACTTCCGAAACCAGAAACTCCACCGGGGTTACGGAAATCCCCATCCACCGGCGAGGATGATTACCACCCAAAAGAACAGTCAGTTTCCTCAGGGGACAATTTCTCCGTCGACATGCCGGCTATAGGGAAGTACATCCGAGAGCAGAGCAACAACTTCTCTGCTGCAATCGCGAAGCGCATCATGTCTTTCAAGGAGGGCGACGACCGGACGGCGAACGGCAGTAACGTGAACCAGAGCATCCCGTCTGTGAGTGAGGGCAATCTTTCGGGATTGAAGGTAATCGTGCAGCTCAATAAAGAGGAAAACAGAGAGTTGAACTTCAAGGGTCGGATCAGTTTCTTCTCGAGGTCGAATTGCAGAGACTGCACGGCAGTCCGAACGTTCTTCAGAGAGCAAGGGTTGAAGTTCGTGGAGATCAACATCGACGTATATCCGCTCCGAGAGAAGGAGCTGATCGATAGGACGGGGAGCTCGACGGTGCCGCAGATTTTCTTCAACGAGAATCACATCGGAGGATTGGTGGCGCTAAACTCGCTCAGGAACAGCGGGCAGTTCGAGCAGAAGCTGAAGGAGATCATGACGAGGAGATGCCCCGAGAACGCGCCGTCTGCGCCGCTTTACGGATTTGATGATCCTGATGAGGATCAGACGGACGAGATGCTTAGTATCATTAAGGTTTTGAGGCAGAAGCTGCCGATCCGGGACCGATTGATGAAGATGAAAATCGTGAAGAATTGTTTCTCAGCGAGCGAGATGGTGGATCTCATCATCCAGCAGCTCGGTTGCGGCAGGACGGAGGTATGTTCCGTTAGCCCTATCCAATGTCTGACAACCTATCATAGTAGCATGTGTAATATGTTTTCAGCCGCGTGATATATAATTGATTGGCTGATCTACGGTTGGGAGATCATTACACCAATTAATGACCAATCAACCCTAGATCAGAATTTTATAACCCCAAATTACAGGGAGAATGTATCTGACCGTGAATTGATGCTAAATTTGCTGAAATTCAGAATTCTCGTGTGTATCTGTACTTCTCCGTTAATTAAATTAACCTCCTGCTGTTTGTTGCCTAGATCATTACCTTGTTGGGTGGTCCCACTCCCACAGACACAATGATCATAGCCATGAGATCTCTGACATTGGTTGAAGTGGGGAAAAGGGTCAACTAAAAGGACGGTAATAACTAATAATGTGTGCAAATGGTGGGACCCATTTGTGATTATTTTAGTTAATGTCGAACTTTGGTTGAAGATCTTCTCTCACGCTGACTTTTGTTTGGATAACCTAACCTTAACACGAGGTTGGGGGGTATTGACTCCTGAGTCTTGACATCCTTCTGTGGGCCCACACGGCTTTGGATTTGGGTAGGCGGCAAATGGAATGGAATTTGATGGCTGATCCGGTAGTTTATGTCCCACTGACACTGAGGATATTCTCCTCGATACCACGTTGATTATTGAGTGGGTCCTACAAGAAAGATTCAGGAGTTGAGAGCTGGGTATGGTTAAGTGGTTAACAAGAAATAGTGGAGATCTATTGTGTTGTGAAATGGGATTCAGTGAGTGCAAAGCTAGTTCAAACAATCATTATAGCCTTGCATTGGGATATCTCCCCCCATGATGGAGATGTTCCCGATGCAAGGCTATACAGACTGTTCGAACGGGCCTTATACTGATTGAAGCCTATCTCCTGTGTTGTGCTGCTGTAGCCTTAGACTTCAGCATTGGGATATACGTAGATATAAATTCGATCCGTTAATATTAATATCTTATTATTTTGAATATAATTATAGAATGTTATCTGTCAGAGACTGGATTGGAATTTGGTGTTATATATTAGAAATTATCAGACTAATTAGTATTATTTATAACCAAACTAGAGATATATCTTTGATATTATATTTTTAAATGAACAAAATGACTTAAAAATAATATTTTAGAAACTTAGAAACTTGAACCTTTGACCTTCTTACCCAAAAAAAAAAAAAAAAAAAAAACCCTACCCTTATTCAAATCAACTCTGCTAATAAATGCTAAAACCTAGAAGGAATTAGAGGAAGATGTGATAGAGGGAGTTAATTTGAGGGTTTGAGGGTTGTTTTAGAAGATGAATCATGATTTTTTTTTCTTTATTTCAAAAAAAAAAAAAAAGCAAAAAAATCATGTTTTTGATTTGGAGTTTTGTTTTGAGAAGTAAAAATAAGATAGTTTTGCCTTGAAAGAGAATTTATGTTTTGACAATTGCATTAGAAATAATAGTAAAATAAGTAGAATTAAGATGGAATATGGATCTTTTTACTGTATTTTTGTGAGGAAGATATTTGAATATTAGGTTTGACTTCCAAGGAGTCTCATAAACGTTGGATTAGAGAATTAAATATTTAAATTGAAAAGGGCAAAGAGGTAATTATGGTTAGGAATATTGTGTATTTAATAGAGATATAATTGTGAAAGTGGAAAGTTTTCTAACGTAACTATGGTCCATAAACGTCAAAGTCCTATTGTTATAATCCCATGCGTGTGTAGGGAGTCACATTCGTTATAGAGATGGCTTTTAAATAGATATTTATAAAGAAAAATATCTATTTTTGTAGAGGAGAATAGAAGAAGAAGAAGAAGAAGAAGAAGAAGAAGAAAGAGATTGAAAATAACAACTTAGTATAAAAGACTGTTGGCTGTGCGTCCAAATTGAAGAAAAAGAATTCTACTGGGTGGCTTGTGCACTGTTTGCCGATGACATTGTTATTGGTGGTACTCTCAAGTCTCCACCTGTTTGAAATGGTTACTTGGTGTTCTTTGGGAAATGGAGACGTGGGATCAAAGATAAGGTCAGTGGGCCTTATATTTGCTAATTTCTGTTATATTGCAGCTCTTAAAAGCTCAAAACTTCAGACTTGAAGTCAATCTCATCTTAGGATGCATGGCGTTATAGAGTCAGGCCCAGGCCCATATGGTCTTTCTATAGTCCCAGATTCAGGGATTAGGGCTTTGAATTGTTGAATTTGGGTTTGGTTGGGTGGCCCAACATCCTTGTTTCCTTTTCTTGTCATTTCACAAGCTTAATTATAACAAAATATGAATATAAATGTGGGATTTCGGGGTCTTTCCTTCAAATCAAACACAGCCTAATATTGCAACTGCTATTACTTGCTTATAACATAGAAGGGGGCTCCTACTAAAATTTATATCGTCTACAGCGATTTGGTTTCCTTAATTTTTTCCCCATTTCAGTTTAGATATATAAATAGTTGATACAAGAATTACGTGTATTGTAGGCTGTTGAAATTGGGAAGGAGCTGGCTAAAAGGCACTTCATCCATCACGTATTCGGGTAAGAATGTAGAAGGATTAGGATTTAGTGATTGTTTTTACTTTTACCATGCAATTTTGATACGTATAGCAGTTGGTGGATGACTGCATTCTCTTTGTTTGTTTGTTTACTTGTTTGCTGTTTATAATGTGTAGTGAACATGATTTCGAGGATGGAAAGAACTTCTATCGCTTACTTGAGCATGAAGCTTTCACTCCCAAATGCTTCAACTTCCGAGGATCCACCAACGACAGTGAACCGAAGCCAGCAGCTGTTGTCGGTGAAAGACTTACAAAGCTAATGTTTGCCATACTCGAGTCCTATGCTTCTGAGGACAGGCTTCATGTTGATTACCTCGCCATCAGTACCAGTGAGGAATTCCGGAGGTAGCTTTCTCATTAATGCAAACCTATAAACCTATTATTTAGCTTTCGCTTAAATCTTACCCATCTCACCCGTTAGTTTCAATTTACTAAAGGAAATCACTCTGAATTTTTTTTTTTTTTTTTTTTTTTTACAATAACAAAAGAAAATTTATATTAAACGTATCACACTTGCTGCAGATATGTGAATATGACTCCAGATCTACAACGTATTAATGTGCTTGAGCTATCAGAAGATGAAAAGCTGGCTTTCTTCTTGAACCTGTACAATGCCATGGTCATTCATGCCGTGATTAGGGTGGGTTGTCCACAGGGGGTAATTGACAGGAGATCTTTCTTCGCTAACTCCCAATATATAATAGGAGGCCACCCCTACTCCCTCAACACAATCCAGAATGGGATTCTTAGATCCAACCGGCGACAACCTTACTCCTGGATGAGACCTTTTGGTGCTGGAGATAAGCGTTTAGAGGTAAATAATATTTGTATCCATCCAAATTTCAAATTTGATCAACTCCTGAACAGGTAAGCAAATTCTTCTCCATGAACGTTTGGTGTAGAGGAGGATTTTGGCATTTCTTAATCGCTTAATTAAAAGGCATGCACCTATATTGATTCCTATTTAACAAAGCTTTTTCTTAATCTGAAATCCAGGTGGTTCTTGCTAATGTTAACCCATTAATCCATTTTTCCATTTGCAACGGCACAAAGTCAAGCCCAAAAGTGCGGTTTTTCTCAAGCCAAGGGATTGAAGCAGAATTGAGATCCGCCACGAGGGAATTCTTCCATGAAGATGGGATGGATGTGAACTTGGAAAAAAGAACTGTACACCTGAGCCGAATTCTTAAATGGTAAGCCAGCACTTTAGTCCATCGATCGGGGCATTCCTTTATTCTTTTCCTTTTAACCTACTGCTTGTATGTGATTATTTTCAAAAAAGGAAGGAAAAGATAAATGGGGCGTTCTACAACTGAATTGCTTTCCTTATTGCCAGCTCTAAAAATTAAATCAAAATCATGTGGTTTGAAAATAGATTGTTTTTCTCCGTTGTGTGTTTGTTTTATGTTTTCAAAACTAAAACAAAAAGCATGTACTTTAATCTTAATCTGGTTTCAAAACAAACACACCCAAAATCAACTGAAAAACTACTTTTCTCAGCATTATATTTTCCCTTTGATTTTTCCTGATATTCTCCCATTTTTTGTCCATGTAGGTATAGCGTGGATTTTGGAGAAGAGAAAGAGATTTTGAAGTGGATCGTCAATTTCCTGGATTCAACCAAAGCTGGCCTTCTGACACACCTGTTAAGCGATGGAGGCGCTGTTAATGTTGTTTATCAAGACTATGATTGGTCCTTGAATAGTTAAGTATTCAAATCTTCGTCCGCATGAGATAATATAGAATTTATTTTTTTTAGCAAATTGAAAATTTCATCCAATTTCACGAGTTCATGAAAAAGGTGGAAATATTCTGAGGAAAAAATACGTGAAATAATATTAAAATACAATTTTGAGAGATGTATATATCACTATAAATTTTTTTTATTATTTTTATGCTTGTTTTTTCCAGTCTCTGTTTGGAGTGGGGAAGTATGTACGTATTTGTATACTGTTGATTAGAGAGCTTTCTTTCTAATGGAACTGTTCGGAAATGGAAGTATGTACGTATTTTTTTCAGTCTCTGTTTGGAAATGGAACTGTTCTATTAATCGGTTTTCGGGTCGATGGTCTAATCATCTGGTTCAAATAGACAATTTGTTTTAATCAAAAAAAATTAAAAATGGTCAAAACCATTGAAAGGATCCACAGTTTAACTGTCTGGATCAACAAGTTATTGACTTTTTCAATAGTTTTTAACTAAAGACTGGATTTGAGATAAAACTAAATCGATTACCTGAACAGTTTCTGAACCGAACGGTTCAACCATCCGGGTCAATGGAAGTTTGAAAATCATGCTCTTGTGCAGCAAGGAATTTGAGACGAAAATTTATAATTTTCCTGATCATATAATAGAGTAGATAATGTTTGGTATTTACTTATAAGAAAAGTCTGGATTTAGGCTCAAAAACCAAATACAAAGTTATAATGTGACGATGATCCCTCCAACTGACAAATGACCGAGAAATCATCGGCAAATTTGCTACCATAGTTAGTTTGGGTTATTATCTGAAACACCACTTCACTTTTCAAATATGCATATCTTTCTTCAACAGTCGAGTCAGTGAACATAATTAAAATAAGTGGTCTACATGTACCAATTTTATTATTTAATGACTAACACTAACCTCGACCAACTAATCAATCCTATTAACTGATTTTCATATTATAAGAAACTCCTTTGATGTATTTGTATCGCCTTTTTTGTGTTCATTCATCTCACAACCTCACCACAGTTCTATTTGAGTAAATGAAAGCACCAATTTTTGGGATTTTGTTTCACGGAGTTGAATGAAGGGGCATCATTGTAATTTTGTAAATACCATTGGTTTTTAATTGCAAATGTCTGACATGGGGTTTCTATAATAAAGGTATCAAAAAGCTAGAATAATTGCCCTTAATTTAGGAGAAAGTGATAAAAGAGGAGGGGTGTTTCAAATATTTGCCCTTAATTTTTCAACATTATCTATCACTTGTTGATCCGTTACTAAGTTGTTGAAACGCTTTCTTTAAAAGTTCAAAAATGCCCTGAAAAAAAAAAAAACCCCTTTGGTGGGATAGAAAAGGAAAATGGGTGGAAAATTTTTATGTTCCATTGATTGCTTGCAAAAGAGAAAAATAGTAGAAAAATCAGCCCCAATAACAATTATTAATTAATTATGTTTTATTATTTTATTAATAATTAAATAATTATTTAATCATTGCTAATTATTTAATATTTTGCTTATAATTATTAAATGATAAATATTAATAATTAGTTAATAAAATAATATTTTAATTCTTATTAGTCTATGTTTTATTATCCACATGTTAATTAAATTAATTAATTGATAATTCTATTGGATTAATTGGTTATTAATAAAAAACCATTATATAAATTAATTAAGAATAATAATTATTATATTTTATTAAATAACTTAATAATTAAATAGTTATTAACTAATTACTAATTTTGTTATTTAATATCTTATCATTAGTTATTAATTGTTAATAAATTAATATTAATAATTATTTAACTAATTAATAACATCAATTAGTGTTTTAGTTTTTATTAGTTTGCGATTTTAATATTAATACTTAATTATTAATTAAAAAATCATTTAATTAAATTCTTTTATTAAATAAATATTAATTTATTAACAAATCATGTGTCTAATGTTTACTCTTAAAAAGAGGTGTTTTTTAATGTTAAACAAGTTTCCCCCTCCTTTCTTGCTTGTTTCACATTGATGTGATTCAGTTCCCAAGATTTGGGAATTATGATCCCATGTTTTGCCCATCCTATTTCATGACATCCCACAAATCAAACATGGGGAGGGATGAATATTTGAGAATATTCCTTCTTTTTTCCCTTTGCATCCTACAAACCAAATAGAGCCTCATGCTTCTACAATTTGGCCAAATCATAAATGTGATAGATTTTTCTCCTTTTGTTCTAAGAAGAAGAAACACTGATTTTGGGATCTCATTTTCTTGTTTTAGATTAGATTTGAAGTTGTTGTTTAGAAGATATCGAATGACTACAATAAGAATTCTAGCTCACAACACTTAGGTTATTTTGTTACTTTTGTCGGATCTTTTTATTTATTTGATTTTCCATTCTTATATTGTTTCAAAATTGGATATTTGAAATGATATAAGGTGAATGTAATGTCACATGCAAATAGAACATGACGAATGACTAACAAAGGACCGAATGCTATTTATAGGGCTAGATTCGAGCCGATCCGAGCTGAATACCTCACTATTCGAGCTCGGCTCGCTGGAATAGTCTTAGGCTCAAGCTCGATTCGAGCTAGAGACTTGAGCTCGATCTTGGCTCAGTTCAAAGCTCGCAAGTTCGAGCTCGGCTCGGCTCAAGCTCGACTACAAGCCAAGTTTTTTCTAAAAAATAAAAAGTATACATATAAAAATATATTTTTATTTTACATACAACAAAATAAGAATTATAACAATTATTTATTATTATACATATAAAAAGTAAAAAATATACATAAAAAAAGTGTTTTTATTTTACATACAAAAAATAAGAATTATAAAAATTATTTAATATTATACATAAAAAATAAAATGTTATATTAAAAAATATTATTATATATAATAAAAACTATTTATGTATGTATGTATGTATGTATGTATGTGTGTGTATATGTGTGTATATAATAAAAAATTATTTATTCATTATACTAGGATTGTGAGCCTCATGGGCTGAGCTTCACTGGGCTCGAGCTCGGCTCGATTGGAAAACGAGCCTATGTATCAGGCTCGAGTGATCATTTTAAAAATTGGAGGGTATGGCTTTAGAATTTTTCATGTACCTTAAAAGAGGTTTAAGTATTTTTCTCAAATAAGATTGGATTAATTGAACACAATGGTTGTTTAGTAAGATGTGGAACCAATAATAATGCCCCACACCAACTACAAAGTACATGGGATTCATGTCATTCAATTTCTTACTTGAGGGTCCAAAGCATCTTGTTGTGTTGATGCCTTCATAGTCCAATCCTTGAGAAAACAAGTTGAGAAAAATTTGAAAAGAAAATTTTCATAATGATCTCATGTGGAAATAAAAGGCTTGGCCATTAGGTTTTTTCTCATTCATAGGTAGGGTTTGATGAGGGAGGTTGTATACGCTATAATTGTAGTCTACTATTTTTATAGTACACGTCTTTTCTCATGAGGTTTGTGGATGTAGGCTACAAGTCAAACTTGTGTGCATTCTTGAATTTCTTGTTTTGTATTTTTTCTTTTTTGTATTTTTTTCCCATTTTCCAATCAATTTTAGGTCTTGGGTTTGTTCTTTCGTAGTATATTTTTTTGACCGGTGTAAGGTATTATTATTGGTTCGATAACCTACTAAAAGTTCATTCTTAGAGGTTCCAATTTAGTTTCAAAAGAGTATAAATACAAATATGTATAATATAAATGCATACAAAGTGATGCAAAATACAAGGTTTTACACTCTACATACATATATGTATTTGCACTCCTTCCAAATTGAGCCTCAACAATATAATTTAGACTTTAGATGTCACTTTGGCACTACCAAAAGAAGATTGTGTTTGGTACCATTGCCATTCCAAGCTCAAACATGTCATTTTCATGTCAGGTGTTGTGACATGAAACTTTTTGGTTGGTTGGTACTTATGTTGATAAAGTTGGTTGAAAGTAATATTTTAAAAAACAATCGGAAGTGGATCTCCATTGGCCACCGGTTTTGGGTTAGTAGTTCAATTGTCCAAGTTGAATGGATCGACCCTTAGTGTCAAATATTTGAGAAATAGGCTTCCTATTAGATGTATATTCTAATTTATAATATTGGGTCATACGAGTCAAATTAGAATTGATGTTTAAAAGCCCAACTAGATTACAACTTGTTCTCTGATTCTCTCTCGTCGACCTCAACGTCTGTTCCCCTTAGCGTTGGTTCACCTTCCATTCTTCAATTATCAATCGAGTATCGTTTTGTATTCTCAGGTACGTTATCCTCTAACCATTGTCAATTCATCTCCCTCCTTACACAACCTTTTTCTAACTAATGCCTAACCTCCATCCATAATCTTCCTCCTAACCGATAACAAACCTCCATCCAGAGTTGCATGCTAGTTTATCTCTAACCTTCACATCAGATCGCCCCATTTCCGCAAGCCCCACCCCTGCACGCAGCCGCCTCTCAAGCTAGCAAGCTTATCAACCTTGCATGTCGGTAACTTCTTCTCTATAACCTCCTCCTTCTCCGTAACTTCTTCTCGTTAATCTTTTGCTAGCCTAGCGCCTTCTCCTCCTCTGTAACTATCCCTCTTCTGTCTCATGTAACACCGCCAACACCCCCCCCCCCCTTCTTTGTAACTTCTCCTCCTCTGTAGCTTCTTCTCTCTCCAACCTATCATCCACATAACCCCTGAAATTATCACCCCACATTCCATTACACTCATATCAGGTGGATAGATTCTGCTACAGCATAGATTCTTCCACCTTTCCCTATAGATAGATTCTCTCCCCCGTACCACCCTACATTCTGCAGTCCCCATAGGGCCCCATCGGAAAGTTACTGCCTCTCATCCTCTCTCATGAAAACCGAATATCCCTCATACCAGTATGTCCTCGAAGGGAAAAGAAATAATATCCACCACAGATTCCATGCATGCAACTGCAAACTTCGAATCCCTCTTCTCACATGCAGTAAATGTAAGTAGTGACTTTCAAATTCCTTCCTTCGAACCTATAGAGGAAGTTATTAATGTTATAGCCCTTACGTTAATGGGGCGCATTTTCCCGCGCCAACAAGTAATTGAAGACACCTTGGCTAACCATGTTATCATTCAATGAAAAGCTACAGCTCCTATTACGGTTCAATTTATTAAAGGGGAAAGTCTTGAGTTCTTGTTTTCTGATCAGAATGACAGACGAATTGCATTAGAGGGCCCATGGTTTTATCAATCCAGCTGGGTACTTCTTGAAGAGTGGAGTGATTCATGCACTGGCATAGTTGAGAAGGTATGGAGTCAGCGGCTATGGTT